GTCTGTCCTGGAGACAAACCATCATGTGGCCGTGGTCAGCAAACTGCGGCTCGCGAGCCACATGCGGCTCTTTGGCCCCTTCAGTGTGGCTCTTCCACAAAATACCACGTGCGGGCACGCACATACAGTGTGATTGAAACTTCGTGGTCCATGCGCAGAAGTCGGTATTTTGTGGAAGAGCCACACGGAAGGAGCCAAAGAGCCGCATGTGGCTCGCAAGCTGCAGTTTGCCGAGCCGCAGTTTGCCGACACCTGGATGTGGATGTCAAAGAAAGAGTCCTTGTTTAGATTCTTTTGAAGGATTTTGAGCATGACCAGTGCTGATGCCCATCTAATAGATCCTGCTACAGATAATCAGCCTCAGTCTCACGTGTGAATACTTTGGCCTCTAGATTGGTTATGTTGCTGTTGAGAGTGGTCAGGCCAGTGTTGCAGCTGGATACCCTTTTCTGATCTATTTTAACATGGAGATATTTGCCTTTACATGTTGCCTGTTCTATCTCTGTGGATCTCTTTCTTTGAAACCGGGGTAAGTGGGACAAGAACTAATGGTAACACTCGCTCTTCTCTTCCTACCATTCCAATACCTTTCTAATGTCTGTGGTGAGAATAAAATTCGGGAGAACGTGTGGCTATCTTTTTGTGCTTGCCACTTTTGTTTGGTCTACATTCCTTCTAGGTTATAATTTCTCCTATAATCTAGGCAGAGTACTGTTAACTTTATGTGATTCAATCTGATTTACCACAGTGCAGGGATCCGCATAGGAGGAGTATTAAATCTTCAGAATAGTAAAGTGTTGCCTTGTGGATATAGCTCCTTTTGTCATAGCTACTAGACATTATGAATTCTAGAACTGATAGTGTTTGCATCTTTACTTGGGTCACTGGGAAACCCAGAGCAAAATCTGTGAACCACTTTGAGTAAGTGGAAGGATCTTTTGGTACACATTTAAGGTATTGGCCTTAGCTTTATATTATTTTCCTTTCCCTGTGATTTTCTAATTTATTCTATTTTTCAGTTGTGATTTTAATGAAGTTAATTCAACTCCAGTATATGTGCTGCTGAAGTAAGCACAAGCTAACTCAACTCTAATCAGAGCGTTAGAACCAATAATAATTATTATTATGTGTAAAAATATGAGAACTAAGCAGTAATCTATAATACCAGCTGGTTAGTCACAGAAAGGAGAAGATCAAGACTGCTGTACTGTATTGGAAACTGTATACTATGTGGAATGGGTTGCAAGATCTTAAAAGAAATGCAAATAGGATGGATCAAATACATGAGGGCATAAATGAGAAAGCACTGGGCAAGCCTCAAAGATTCAGGGCACTAAATAAAGAGCTATGGAGGTCCTACTGCTTGACCACCTGGCATCATCTCATCCTGGACACTAATTTGAAAATGCTTAAACGATGACTTGAATTCATCCTTTGTATCACCTCTCTTTAAATCTCAAGAAAAGATCTTGGATCACAAATGACGGAGCCCAAGATGTTTGTGCATTGTTTTCCATATCTCGGCTGTCAAATTGATTTTAACTAATTGGAAAGTCTTCTCTCAGATCTTATTCATGAAGCCACTAAATACAATGTACATAGCATTAAACTGTGTAAAACATGCACTAAGGCAGGCTGATCTGATAAAAGACAAGTATACTCTGTTGAATCCCTTAAATTAGAGTAGCTCGTAATAGACATCGAGGCACTACAGAATAAAAGAACATTTAAGGCATTATACCTTTAGAAAAAAGTACAAAGGTTAACTTACAGGACACAAACAAAAAAATCCTATAATTCTATAGAAACACCATTCTATGTTAGTTGGAAAATACTGAAGTCTTGCTTGCATTACTTAATCTTAACTCTGATCAATCACCCTTCTGGTTTATTATTAAATTATCTGTCCTATACTGTAGTCTACAAAATAGAAAGTTTAACAACAGATTTTTAAAATTATAAGTTTCTGCTCTAATAGGATACACACATTTCTGAAAAATCTCTTTCTGCAAAATTGCAAATTAAAAATATCAAGCCTAAAGGGAAAATAGCATTAGGGGCAGTAGGGGCAGACTAAAGACAAACCACCAACAATAAGAATTCTAAGAAAATATTAGCATAATTTTAAAAATACATGGCAGATTCCTAGCAAAGAAATGCTAGAGTAAACATAGGATTTTATCTTATTTAAAAAGGTGAAAAAGTTAATAAGGAAGGCTGATCTTGCTAGGTTGTAAGGACAAGAGGCCAATGGACAAAAAACAGGCAGAAACAACAATAAGGACTTGAACCACAGAGCATGTGATCAACTGAGCCAAAAGATGAATGTGAGATGAACAATCATGTCCAGCACAAATTTCCTCTGACTATATCACTGTAATTTGACTTCAGCTGGTGTATTGCTTAGTGGCACAAAATATGGAACAAAATAATTCAATCATTTATGAGTTAATTTATGTTGCAGAAATAAGGCTGTAATAGACAGATTATACCAAAACTTTAAATTATCAAAGTGTTTCTAGATTATGTTGAAAAAATTGAAATTAAAAGTGTCTTACCAAGCCAAGTCACTACTGAGGAGAATTGTCAGTATGGGGTGAAAATATGGGTAAAATAATAGGTTTGATAGATACTAAGTGCTCAATAAATGTTAGTAGCAGCTATTGCTATTACTTCTGTTTCTACTATCTATACCAATACAGTAGTCCCCCTTTTCTATGATTTCAGTTACCCAAGATCAACCACAGTCTGAAAATATTAAATGGAAAATTCCAGAAGTAAACCATTCATAAGTTTTAAATAGCATTTAAATTCCCTTTAAATTTAAATTCTGTTCTGAGTAATGTGATGAAATCTCACATAATCCCAACTCCATCCCTTTGTCCAGCATATCATTTCACACCATCACAAGAAGAAAGGTGAGTACAGTGCAATAAGATACTTTGAGAAAGCGATAATATTTATATAACTTTTATTGTAGTATATTGTTTTAACTATTCTTAGTTATTGTTGTTACTCTCTTATTGTGCTTAATTTATAAGTTAAACTTTATTATAGGTATGTATGTATGGGAGTGGATGGAAGTATATATAGGGTTTGGTACAATCTGGGGTCTCAGGTATCCCCTGGTGTCTTAGAATGTATCCTGCTCAGATAAGGAGGCACTACTGCAAAGACAGAAATTTAAAGAGCTCTGACACAGACACCTGTGGCATAACCAATATCTATTACTCTTTACTTTCTTGCTAACAGAGTTCTGATTTTTGCTCAGGAATCTACCTCTCAGGGAATGTGACCTTAACCCCATTAGAGGCATATCTGGATTAGACTAACCAATTATAGTAATCTCATTCCTTTTGCCCATGACTGGTTTAAGAGTAGGCTGTGGCTTCATAACCAATAAAACAATGAAGAAAGTTAGCTAAGAGAGCAGGGGAGGAGCTCTGGGGATATGACAAGAACATTTTCAGTTGAATATGGAGGCAAAAACCTGACAGTAGCAATTTTAGGAGAAAATGAGAAGAGGAATTAGATACAGTAAGTATAGACAACATTTTTGAGGAATTTTGTTACAAAGGAAGATAAGACGTGGGAAAATAACTGGCTGGCTTTTTGTTTTTTTCAAGATAGGAGAAATAACAATAGGTTTGTATGCTTATGGAAAAATCTAGAAGACAAGATGTTGAAAAATTATCTACATAATTATGGCATAACCAAGAATTACAATAGATATAGGGTTAGAGAGTGAAGATAGCAGGTAATGGTCTGATGACACGAAAGTAAAAGCTGTGGTTTTGTGTTTTTTGTTTAATTTATCTTTATTGTTGAAAGTATTACAGATGTCCACCCTTTTCCCCCTTTGACCCTCTCCACCCAGCCTCTGCCCCACTCCAGGCATTCATCACACTATTGTCTGTGTCTATGGGCTACGAATATATGTAATCTTTGGTTAATCTCTTCCTGCCCCTCCCGCCCTTCTCTCTGAGATTCAACAGTCTGTTCCATGCCTCCATGTCTCTGGATCTATTTTGTTCATTAGATTCCACATATAAATGAGATCATGTGATACTTGTCCTTCTTTGACTGGCTTATTTCGGTTTTTTGTCTTTTTTTATCCTCATTGGAGGATATTTTTCCATTGATTTTTAGAGAGAGTAGAAGAGACGGGGAAAGACAGAGAGAAACATCAATGTGAGGGAAAACACATCAATTGGTTGCCTCCTACACAGGCCCCAACCAGGACGCAGGCTGGGGATAAGCCTGCAACTGTGATACATGCCCTTGACCAAAATCAAACTCAGGACCCTTCGGTCTGCAGGCCAACGCTCTATCCACTGAGCCAAACTGGCTAGGGCATCACTTATTTCATTTTATCTGGAAGAAGTAATGAGAATATAAAGAAGATAGTCAACCTACTTTCAGACCCAGTCATTCAAGAGCCCAGGGAGAAAACCAACTTTGAAGAGCTGCAGAGGAAGCAGTATCTCCAGAGGAGAGCCCGTTTCCATTAGAACAAGGTGAAAGGAAGGAAAATTCAGAGAAGTCAGGAATTTTGCTGTTGGTGGATCATGAATTCCTGAGGGCACAGAAGAGTTTCAGCAGCTGGGCAGGGGCAGGAAACAGAAGAGGGGATATGCAGGGCCTATGGGATTAGATGTGGGGGTCTAGGGCTTCCTGCAGTGGCAAATACGAACCAGGATAAAGAGCATAGTAATTGTGCTGGACTCAAGAAACATATGATGGTAAAGTTGTGAGTGTTCTGGGGACCAGGGCAGTTCAGGGGCACAGGGTATTTCCTCCTAGTGCTGGTGCTCTTCCTCCTGACTCCTGTTGATGGAACGCATGGACCTGAGGCTGGCTCCCTTCATCATCAACAACTTTATAAAAACGCATGTCACCATCACACATACGGATTTCTGATCAAAAAGCTTACAATTTTTAAAAATCTCCCTGCTCTGGGGGAAATGTAATTTTTCATAGCAGAGTTTGGTTTTACTTACATCTGTGTTACAGGAGCGATACCGTTTCCTTTCCCCAAGGCAGTAGCTTCCATCTCCTGAAGGTCTGAAAACACATTTTGTTTAACATGTGAATATACTCTACTTATCCACATAGAAAGCACATATATTGCATGATGAAAACATATTAACATTTACTTTAAGAAAATACAAAATTGGACATTTTATTAGTTATTAAAAAATCATGCTGGGGACTGTTAGTAATAATGATTATGATTGCTGAATGTTAAAATTAAGGCAATTTACTATGAGTAACTTTACAAGACTGTTAATTGTCATGATTTACATTAAGAAAATGCAATTAAATCAATGTATTTTCTAATTATTATAGTAAACAGGTGATTGGTTCAATTTGAGATTCCAGCTTAAAATTCACTTATTTATAATGAAAAGCCACTTGAATCATTTCAACAAACCCATAACCCGATGCATTTTGCCCACCAAGTTGGAAATGAAAAGTTTGATTTTTCCTCAGACTGGAAACAAGAGAGGACACTAAATGACTCTCTGGAAATAGTTTCAGTTCCAAGTAAATAATGCAGAAATGAATTTCTATCTCATTTCAAATATATATTTTTAAATGATGTTAAATCTAAACATCAGAAGGGCTTGCATTATATAAATGCTTTAAATAATACTCAAATTAATGAAAAAGTGAGATGTCAAATATTTTATTTCCATCAATTAATTTTTAAAGTATTAAACATTAGGTAGAGCCATACGCTATTATTTGAATGCTATTTTTGAAGGCTAACTTGTTCTTTTAAAAGAGGTCTGGTCATACTCTTAAATATCTGGGTATGTTATTGATTATTATAGGGTTTTATAATTTTGGTTATTATTCTACAGTAGCCTACAGTTGAACTTAGATTAATTATTCTGTACTTGTTTTAAAAATAGCAAAGTTTAAATTACAACTTTGACTTACTAGAATCAATGGGATAATTTAAGTGACAATTTTGAATATGTTTTGAATGCCAGTGAATGGTGACTCTAAGCATGGAAAACAAATGGCCCAGCTTGAACCAGCTTGGGAGAAATGGGTCGGTCAGACAAAAACAAAGTAACGGGGACGGTGGTAGCATGGCTGGTTTACGCGTAAGTGACCGTGAGTGAGCTCGGTTTAGCAGGAGGGTAAAAATAGCTAGAAAATGGGAGAATGGAAACACAGCACTAAAATCCAGGGAAACGATTTCAAGCTAAAAAGAGAAGAAAAGAGACTATTTAGAGAGAGGAGCCAAAGAGAGGGATCCTGAGTTAAAAGGAGGAAGAAACAAATGCAGACCATCTTTCACCCCAGAAGGAGGAATACAGCAGAAATGATGTATCATCACCTGGTTCTGCACCAAAATATGCATTGGGAAAGAAGGCCATCAACCTGAGCTCTAGCCAAAAATGTGAGCTGCTAAGGAGCAGTTCAGTCTCCAGAGGGGCAGGAAAGACCACGCGGAGGGACAGTCCACCTGCAATGGGCAGTGGCGGGAGGGAGAAGCAATACCACAGCAAAGCATACTGATGGGACTGGCCTTCCGCCAGAGGGGCTCCGGCTGGAGAAAAAGATGGTGGGAGAGGAGCAGTCTGACCTGCATAAAACAGCCATGGGGAGAAAAGTGGTGGCAACTCCAGAAGATGATTAATGGGGGCATGTGAAAGGAAACTATTTTAACACATGGGCAGTATTCTTTTCATTGTGATTTGTGATGCGAATCAAGGCATTTCAACCCTTGAAGGGCTCTCATTGGTCCTTTTAATACTACTGTAGCAGTAATAATTTTATGTGACATGTGAAAAGACCTTAGGTTTCCTGGGAATAATGGTACTGTAGCTAAGACCAGACCTGGATTCATCCATAATTCAGTAGTTTTTGGAAAAGGAAATCTATCTGATTATTAGTAGATTAAGAATTCTGGCTCTACCTGGGGTAGATACACAATGCTTGTCTTTCTCCCCTTTCTTTTATTTTTAGTCACATAGGAAGGGGCGGGGAAGAAAAGGAAAGTCTGTCTAACAAGGCTCCTCCGCTCTCCTTGCCTCGTGCTTGTTCTGAAGACAAGCACTTGGCTCGGGAGTGAAACGTTTTTACAGATAACATGTGAAACCACAGCTTTGAATCATTTCCAACTGTGTCTTTTTGTTGGCTGCGGCTTACTTTAGCTACTTACGCTGGACTGTCACACTGTCTTAGAGATGAGGAGACGCCTCCCCCGCAGGTCCTGCTGCACTTTCCCCACAGTGACCAGGCACCCCAGCCCCCTTCTACGCTCTGGGGCGAAGTGCCAAAAGCAACACATTCTCCCTGATAGCACCACTGCAAGATTGCACAGAAAACACAGAATTAGCTTTTAGGCAGATACAGCTATCAGGACAGAAATACACAAAGTTCAGGCAACGACCAATTACAGGCATTAGCATTCTCCCAACAGATAACAGAGTTCTTTAACCGTGTTTACACATTGGTGATGGTGCGTGTGATTTGCAAATTATCTTTAGCTAGGCAATGATTTCAAAATCTCTAACATGTACCAGGAGTTTAAAAAACGAGTCTACTTCTCTTCCCTTATTTCACCTACTCCAGACTTTTCGTGTTTCTCATTAGGGAGACCTCAAAAGTCTTTTTTCGATATTCTAGTATTAAAAAATTTTCTTTATATTCCACTATTATTAGACTCATGGAATGATAACGCAATATGGAAAGTTCCCCAGTAAGGAATTTTTATGATGGTAATTGCTTTTTCTTTAAAAAAAAAAAAAAAGAAAGAAAGAAAGAAAAGAAAAGAAAGAAAGAAAGAAAGAAAAAGAAAAGGCTGGTTGAGGCTACAATGGTAAAAGAATGTGTTGTGGCATTTCATCTACATGAGTACTGCAGACATAATAAAAGTAATGCCAAGACACTAGGGACTGGGTACAAAAAAACCCTTATGTACACCAACCAGCCATGTGCATAGCCCCTGCGTGAACATGTGTGTTGGAATTCTTCTCAGCTTTACTCTCTGCAATAAACCACACATACTGCACATAAGTAGAAAGCCAGGAATAATTTATCGAGATGCAGACATCAAATAATCAGCTCATAACTCTAACATGATAAATCTTACTTGCAGAATATGGTAAGAAGGAAAGCCTTTTTTAAAAACAACAAGAAGAAGCCTTTCTAGGCTTTTATTGGTGCATTTTGTGAATTGCCATCAATCGCTGACAAACCATACTGATGCTATGAAAGTCATTTGTTTACGTGAATAACCATAGGCAACGTTATTAGAGTTGAGTAACTGTCAGCAATGTTAGCTAGCTAAATAAAAATTCAACATTATATTAAAACATAGAGGGATTAGGACATGTGATGCTTAAAAGTAATCATTGTATAATACTAATTATATATATCCAGAATTTTTTTCACTTTTCACCTTTTTCACTGCTACCAATGGCAAATGGAATAGCTTCTTACCTGGTTCCCCTACTTCCACTTTTTCCTATCTATAATCAATCTGTTCTCCAGTAAGCTTTCAGAGAGATCTTTTTAAAAAACATATTATCGCATCATGTCTCTTTTTTTGCTTAAAAGACTCTGGTCAGCTGTGGCCTGTGGGAAACACCCCTGCCTCCTTCTCCAGCCTCACTCTCTCTCGGATTTCTCCAGACATACCAGATTTCCTTCCTTTCCTCCAACACTAAGCCCGTTCCCTTCATAAGGCACTTGCATCTGCTGGTCCCTTGGGAATACTCTTCTCCCAATTCCTTATATTGCTGTGTTCTCATCATTCAGTCCCAGGTCAAGTGTCATCTCACCAGGGAACTCTTTCCTTGACCACCTTATCCCAAAGTGGAACCTCCAGGATGTAATCGTTTTAGTACACACTACTTTAAATTACCCTGTTTATTTTTCGAATTACTTCATTATTGTCTATCTCCTCTCGTTAGTAAGTAAAAACTTTAATGTGACAAGTGTGGCTATTTAAATTTAAATTAATTAAAAATTAGGTTCCTCAGACCGGCTAGCTACATTCCAGGGCTTCATAGCCACATGTGTGGCAACAATGTTGGGCAGAGCAGATCCAGCATGTCAGTCACCACAGAATGTGCTGGAAGCTGGTCCATCCTTGCTGCTTGACACAGTCGCTGCAGGGAAGAAACATCTGCACAGCATATGTTTCAAGGGACCTGGCGCATATGGCATACTGTTCTTAATATGTTTGCTCCCCCTCTTGGCGCTATGTGTTTTAACCAAGGTCACCTCTCAGAGAAAGGTTGTTTCCCCAGGTAGGGATTTTTCCCTGAAGTTAGGGAGGGAATAAAACCCCTTAACTAAGTGACAGGCGGGTAATTAATACTTTAACTACGAACAATCATGCTTAAGCTACATAATCTTTACTCCCTGGAATGGAGATAAGAAACGCCCTAACCTTTGGAATAGAGATTGATAGGATTAAAATCTACTGGTATAAATACAGATGTAACAAGACAATAAGACACAGAACTTGTCTGGAGATCCTGGCTAGAGAACCCAACTATGCTGATCAACTGAACGCTGCCTCCGTGTCATTCCTTCTTTGCCGACTCTATCCACACCTTTGGGAACCCCGGGACCTGCTGGGGCTGGATCCCAACAAGAATGTTCTATCTAGGACAGTGCTTAGCATGTAGTAGATAAGCAGCAAAAATCCATTGACTGAAAGACAACGTTAGTTCAATTTTAGAATTCTGTGTTCTGTTTTAGTTGCTGCATGTCAGGAAGGAAATGGAAATACTGGAGGGTAAAGAGAGTCAAATTCACCTTTGTTTCCCTAGGACTTAGCACTGAGTAAATGTTTTAGTAGCTGTGACAACATACAAGACTTTTTAGAGAAGTGCTAAGCAATTATCATTTGTCCATAAAAAAATTAGGCAAGAAGAATTCAAATTTTGGTTGGCTAGAAAGCAGAACATTCTGAGCCTTAACCTATTAGATATTAAAGTAAGACAATAAGAAAGATTATGAGTTTTGACAATGAAAATTACCATGAAAAAAACCCATCTGTCCAAAATGATGAAGCAGAGGTTGCTGGCTGCACTGATATAATACAGGATCAGCTCTGGGAGTAGGACTGCTGATAATGTACACTTGAGAGGGAGAGCATGTTCCAGCTGCCAGCTTATCGCTTACCTAATTGATCCTGAAGACCAATCATTTGTATAATGATATACCACCAATTGTGCTATACCTTCACCTATATAAAAGTCACAACATTAGGCCAAATAATCTCCGGTTTTACATTTTTGTTATTAGAAGTACCTGTGTGTACGGACACCTATGCCTGTACCTGTTTTTTCTTTGAGAATGACTGAGCAAAGTAGTATTGACCAGCGATGACTGATTTGGGCCATGGTTTCAATTAATGACAACACTTTAAAAAACTCCACCTCTTAAAATTTGTCTATTTTTTCAAGTTGGAAATCTAGCATTATTGATTTCAAATAACATTAAAGCTTGATTTTACATTTTATAAAAGCACAGAGCTGCATCTAAAGCTCAAAAGAACTTAAGCATTCATGAGATCTAACCACCTCATTTTTCAAATGAGAAAACCAGAGCCTATAGCAGGTTGACTTGCCCAAAGTCACTTACTGGCAGAAAGGAAGGAATTATCTGTCCAAAAATACACAAAAAATCAGTGTGTGTGTGTGTGGGGGGGGGGGGGGGAGGGAATCTATTAGAGGTGTAGAATTCTATATTTAAAAACATTAAATAATATTCCACTATACTTTACTGAACTGTTTTTACTACACAAAATACAAAATAACACTAGAGACTGAAAATAAAAAAAAATTCACTTAGCTATAAGTGAACAGCCACATATTATTTCAGACCTCCTTGGGTACTCTTATAATTGGGAGAGAAAAAATCACTTTCTGCATTTTCAAGGGCTAAAGGAATTGTGAAAGCCATAAGGACACAAAAAGATGTAGGTTCCAAAGTATTTAATAACATTGTTATATGTTTCCTGGAGACTCACAAAGTGTAGGACAGGGAAAGAAGTCACACAAATGATTTTGTTTCCTTTTAAAACCTATCCTTAAGGTAAAAGATAAATACAATATTCACCTTATAAAATGTTGCTCAATTCTCATGATTACTTAACATTTACACAGTATTTCATAATTGGTTTGCTAGAACCTTTTACTGCATAAATTCACCCGATTGATTATATCTATTCCATGAAATCTATACTAATAAAAGGGTAATATGCTAATTAGACTGGGAGATCTTCTGGGAGACCTTCCGGATATCCTTCCGGACAAAGTCATGGTGGCAGGGCCAAGGCAGAGGCGGTTAGGGGAGATCAGGCCAGGAGGGGAGGGCAGTTGGGGGTGAGCAGGCTGGCGGGGTGGGGGGGGGGGAGTTGGGGGCAAGCAGACCAGCAGGGGGACAGTTGGGGGCAATCAGGCTGGCAAGGTGGGGGAGGGGCAGTTGGGGGTGAGAAAGCCAGCAGGCAGAGTGGTTAGGGCGATCAGGGAGGCAGGCAGGACAGCGGTTAGGAGCCAGCAGGCCCGATTGGGAGAGGCATGTCCCCCAAGGGGTCCCAGGTTAGAGAGGGTGCAGGCTGGGCTGAGGGACACCCCCGCCCCCGTGCACGAATTTCCTACACCAGGCCACTAGTTATAACATGATAGACAATTATATCAGATAGTTAAGTAACAAAGATTAATGGGTTAAAAAAGAAGAATTCATAATAATATAAGTATCATTCACCAATTGATAAGAAACTACTGTCTAGTTTAATAACTAATTAACAACATTGTTAGCTAGTTAACAAGTAAACAACTTCAGTCTATATAGGGACAACTTCACTCTGTATGTAGTCTGTGTTATAAACCTGAGCTCTCATTCGAACAATATATTTGATTTAAAGCAAGTCATTTATTTATTTTCTTTAGTTTCCCTAACTATAAAATGGGGACTAACTTTAGTTTTTGATTCCAATATGGCTTGGATTAGGACAACCTTAGACATTATTTCTGTGCAGACATACCTTCAAAGAAGTTAAAAACACATCAAAGGACTTGTTTTATTTTTTTGTGTTTTGTTTAGTTTCCCCCCACCTCCTATTTATAGGAAGGGATTTCTTTGGAATTCTTGCTACTTCCCTCCTCTGGTAATGGCAAGTATCTTGATGTAGCACATGCTTTTAAGAGAAGAAACTTATCTAACTTAATAATAACTGCTTTAAGAAATCCATAGGAAACTTCATGTGGATAAAGTTATTTGAACTAATTTTCTAGATAATTACATGAATCAATATATACTGATTTAATATAAGTCACAAGTATAAT